GCGAACGAGTTTAGGATGCTTGTTGAAAATTTCTATAAAAGGTTGTGAAACTTGAGGTAGGACAGGAATGGGAGTGATAGCAGCTACGTTGGCGCTAGTCCCGATAACACTGAGCTGTGTCCTAGATTCGATAAGCTTCTTCCTTTTAGCGTCGACGATGAGGTGGAAGCGTTGAAGAAAGTCTATGCATATGATGGCGAAAGGCACGGCAGCGATTATGAAAGGCCAGCGAAAGGTTCGCCGGAGGCCTAAATTGAGCGTCAGCAGCTTTTCGCCGAAAGTTGCGATTGGTGTGACATTGGCGATGGTGAGACGACCTCATCTGAGCTACAGGGTATAACACTAACTTCGACGCCAGTGTCGACTAGAAACTCGGTGTCGGGAGTTAAATCCCTAACGCGGATGATGCGACTTTGGTGTTGGCCGGTCGCTTCCGTCGCCGTTATGGACCGGCAGAGCAGTTTCTCTCTTCTCGGCGAAGTTACAATGCTTGACACATTTATGAGCTACGGTACCAAAACGCTGATGGTACCAGCAGCTAGGTTGCCCGTTGCTCGACTTAGAATGCGTGCAAGGCGATTTTGAGCGGCTATGACGAAGACGGTTCATAGTAAGTTGTTGAATCTGGCGACTAAGTGTCGCAACTTGTGTTTGGAGGGCTTCTGACACGTTGGACTGTATCCAGTGATAGAAGTACCCCTGGGGCTCCACGACGGCATTAATCTTGTCTGCGTCGCGCTTGTGGCATGTGATCGCCTCAATTAACTCGATCCGCTAAATCTGCTAGTTGGGGTGAGCGAAACTGGAGCTCACTGTAGCGAGAATCGCTTGCCGCGTTTTCCTGTAAGCCCGCGTGTAAGCCATAGTTCAAGAATGTAGCGTCTCGTCCATGTTTGAGGAACCTAAGAGCTGCTGCATCTCTACGTAGCAGGGTTGAGCGGCAGTTGTGTCGCCCAGCTGTCAGATCCCTGATAAAGCTGCTGCAGGCGACTTTTCTCAGAGGGCTATAACACCGCTTGATTCGTGGCTCCTACTGAGCCTCATTAGCGGTTTCGGTCTGAGAAACTGATAACGTCACGAACCTGCATTGATATCTCTTTGGGCAGATAGGACCAGGAGTTTGCTATACTTTGCGTAGTCTGAAGTGTTTCTGTGGTTATAAAAGTCAGCCTCAACATGAGCGAACCACAAAACAGGATCAAAGTCCCAAAAAAGTGGTACAGAGATACAACGCTTAGTAGAGACTCTACCTTATGGTCTACAGATTCCATGGTTTAAAAAATGACGCAAAAAATAGGCTACCGTATGCAAAAATTAACAGCAAAATATGAAAAAATAAATGGAACGAGCTCACCAGAGAAAAGTTCGAAATATCCGGCGTTGAGATTGTTCCGGAGTCGGGGTCACCAATTTAGAGGGTCGCCTGTACCGGGAGCCCAGAGAGCGATTCGAGAAGGCAGATCGAGTTGCAGGGAAACTTTTATTGGTATAGTAAAAGATTCCCTGTTATCTAGCTATAAAAGAACGACACCGTGGACGCTCTAGCTAGGGGAACGGAGCAAGCACAGCACACAGGGCAGTTGCGAGTTGCAACCGAAATGAGTGCCAAGCAAAAAATGGCGGTGAGCAAGTCAAGCATTCGAACTCAGCAATCAGTTCAACAAACCACACCGGTTGCCTAAGTGTACAATGAAATAATTTTAGTAAGAATTTTACACAGGCAAACCGGGAATCTCCAGACTGCTACACAGAGTACAGATCCTTTACTTTGAAAGTTCCTAATAACATTTCCAATGCTTTGCCTGGTCTTTGCAGTGTCGTAGGCTACTTGTTCGGAGAAGTTGAGCGAGCATGAGTATCTCAGTTCCAGGTCACGAACAGTATGTCATATATTAATTTACTTATCACAGATGGTTAAACTGCTCAATGTTATGTCGCATTTGTATGACATAGTATAACACTTATCTGCCGTAAATAAAATTTCCACTTTGAGCCCCAGGTTCCGAGCGCGATCATATTGGTGGCTTTGTTTATGGTAGCGGGGTGAAAAGTGTAGATAATTTTGTTATCGTAGGAAAACACACGGTGTTCCGCATTTTACATCGTCAAATACCCCGTTAACATACATCAAAAACAGTATAGGACCAAGGACACCACCCTGTACTACACCACTTGTGACTGCTGTTGGTTCAGATTTGTGTTCCCGAATCTGTACCACCTGCGTTCGATTTGTTAGATATGTCTTTGAACCACGAAAGCAGGGATTCCCGATTCCATACATCAATTTGGATATCAGTTTTCCATGTGGCACTCGGTCGAAAGTTTTGTGCTTATCGAGGTAAATAGCGACTGCAGAATTGCCGTTATCCTGTGAGGCAGTTACATGATGTAAAAATTCCAGTTGCCACATCATTCACGAGCATTCATAATACCATGTTGAGAGTCGTTGATTAACTTACGAGACAGTAGGAAGTCGACCGTTGCAGATTTTATGTCGTTCTATCAAGTTGGGTAAGATAAATATATGAATTATTGGGTGATAATTCTTTGTTTCGAACAGGGAGTCTGATTTGTGTCGCAGAATGACACTGGCTTCTTTCCACTGTGTCGGTACAGTACCGGAGTTCATGGATAAGGTGAACATATTCAATGAAAGCAATGGTATGTCGACACCCCGGAGTTTGATAAGTGCGGGAGGTACACTATCTGGTCCACCGAAGTAGGATAATTTTGTATGTTACAAGCTTCTGTATGTCACGGAGTTCAATCTTGACACGGGTGAGTTGGTCAAGTGTTGATGGTGGTATATACAATCTTGGAAGGTCATTATCCGGCTTAAGTGGGGCGCAAAAGTACTGACTAAAGGTTTCACTGCTGTGGGTCCAGTCAGCTATTATGTGGTTATCTGCCGTAACAAATGAGATCGTGTCTTGACTCCGTTTGGCATTCCTACACTTTAAAATGTTGGTTAGATCGCGAATTTTATACTAGATCCAGAGGGCTCTTTTTTATCAGCGATTTTTTGGTATGACATGCCATTTGTAGAGCTAAGTTTGTGGTGTTGTGCCAAGAAGAAGTCATTTGTCTCGCGATGTGCCGTTAGCAGCTTTTTGAGCGTTATGGTTGTCCTACGTGACATATGCGTTTTGTTACTGTGAGGAAAGTGTCCATGCACAGTAGGAGCGAGTGCATCAATACATATCTAAATGTTGTCGTAGAGAACATCTGCAGCGGCTTGTGAGTCTTCAGTAAGGAAAAACTGTTCCATTGAGCAGATCTCATTAATTTGGCGAACAGACCCCAGTCGACGGCTTTATATTTCCTGGTATATATATATATATATATATATATATATATATATATATATATATATATATATATTAAATATTGGACACGACCGATAGCTGGTATCGTGTGGGAACAATGAATGAAAATGATACTACTCTGTGATCACTACCAGAAAGTGCTCAAGAACGTGGTGGATGCTGATAATATGCCAGTGGTGATTAGGTCTGATTTGATCCTTTCTAGTTGGAGATCTGACATGTTGGATCCATCCGTGTGAGTGTAGAGAAGATAGCTGATTCGTGTATTTGTTATGTGCATAGCTTGAGGTCCATGCTAGATCCGGCATGTTGAAATCCCCACCGATTACCTTATACTTGGCTGGTTGGTCCGCTAGATGACAAAACATATATTGTAGTGCGTTAACTTCTGCGACACTGGTGTTGGGGTGCATGTATATATCTCCGAGAAGTAACATGTGACAATCAACGTACGCATTTACAAACACAGTCTTCGAAAAATTGTGAGGGGACATCGGCCGTTGATGCACACATGGCACAACAACCTCCTTGCTTGAATTACGACAGCTAATAAAACTCTTGTAACCCCTTATGTGGTAGTTATACTCAGGAGTATCTTCCATTAGCCACGTCTCTGTCACAAGTATGATTTTTGCATCAGCAGTGAGTTTAGGAAGTGAATTTTGTTTTCCATGGAGCGTGCATTAAGCAGCAGAATGCGTCTCGAAAACGATTGATTGGTTCATTATTTGTTAAAACAGTAAAGCGCTATCTACTGATGACGACGTCGTATCTGTTTTGTTTGACTGGAATCCGGCGATATCTGATTTGGGATTATCGAAGGTATTTGAGCATGCATCTGTGGGCATGGATGGTGGATACGGGAGTAAAGGTGACGCTATCGTTTCCACGGCTGGTAACTTCAGGCGCAGGGACAATTTATCCCTTGTGTACTCTGGAATTGCTTGGAATAAGGGATATGTTAAGTTATTAGGTGCAACTTGTGACTGGCCTGGTATTGGGCTATCCTTGCCATCTGGATAAATTGAATAGAGTGGGACCATGTAATTGGTTTCTGTTGGATGTACCAGTGCTGGGAATGGCTTTGAGACCATTCCCACTTTCACCAAAAAATTGCTGTCTGAAACTGATGGTTCATGATTGTCTTTGTGTGTATGGGGGTGAGGTACATTTATCATCATACAACACTAATCTAGTCCGAATTTGCTTCAGCTTCCGGCTTCAATGAACTGCGAGTTAGGGAATACAGTGAACAAGGACGAAAACCCACGTCCCGGAACCTCAATGGAATCACTTTCTCGCTTAAAACCTGCTTTTAGTGACTCCGCCGAGAACGGCACAGTCACTGCAGGCAACGCCAGTGGAGTAAATGATGGTGCGGCGTTCCTGGTTCTCTGTCGTGGGGACCAACTCAAGAAGTGTGACAGCCTCGGTGAGTGCCGCATCTGTGAACAGGTGCTTCTTGTTTAATAGTGTATTTGTTTATATTATTTGCTTTCACTCTCTCGGTGAGGAAAGCTCACCATAGATGAATGGACGTTCCATAACTTGCCGCGCATTTTCGCACCAAAGCGAATGATGCTATGTTCCGTTGGTGCCATGGGAACTCATCTCACGTACCACGGGCACAATGCATGTTTAGAAACCGCTTTTTCGTTAGATAACTTGCTATGCTATCAGTTTGTTTGATATGTACAAAAACAACGACTTTATATGTATTAAATTTCCCTGTACTTGGATGTACCTATTCCTGAAACACATCTCACTCCGCATAGCATGCAGATAAGGCAGATCGCGAGTAGGACACTTGTGGCCTACTTAGCGAATCAAGGCTGTTTACAGTCGCGATTCGCAGTGTATTGCTTTGAGCATCTGGCTTGGAACCTATGTGTCCCGGGTTTGAATTCTCGCTCTTAACAGCTCGCGTCCGTAGCTGTATGACAACGAAGCATAAGTACGAAGTACTTGCGTGCTGCTGAGTCAGAGTCAGTACTCATTTCGTCGAAATATTAACCGCCATATTTCGACCCCCATGATCTGTCTGGGAACGGTGATAAGGTGGACGATGCTCCAGAGCGCATAAGAATTCGCGCAATTAGAGAGTAATGCTCGAGAAAACCGGTACAAACATCTGACTACTGATACTTACCACATTTGTAGACACGATGTGTCGCTTCGTTCGGATCGTCGGATGGCATCAAGTCGGCCTTGAGCCACAGCTTATGGGCCTTGGACCGGTGAGTGCTATTCTTGGACTCATTGCCAAGTTAGGATGGACTTTGGACTCTGTGGATGCTTTCGAGATCAATGAGGCATTCGCTGCTCAGTCGCTTGCCGTAAGTTCATTGTCCAGCTGATGATAGTAGTAACATTTCATGTCAATGTTCTACACAGTATTGTCGCATATCAAACGATCCTGCTTTTTCTACAGGTCATTCGTGAGTTGGGCATCCCTGCTAGTAAGGTCAACCGATGGGGCGGCGGTGTTGCTCTGGGTCACCCATTGGGATGCACTGGCGCTCGAATCTTGGTCACACTTATAAGCATCATCAGTCATTTGGGAAATCCACCTCCAGAAAAAGAACCACTTCGCGGGATTGCGGCCCTCTGTATTGGTGGGGGAATGGGAATAGCCCTGGCAATAGAATCCTTCAAATGAATGCATGTTCGTACACGAGGTCACACTGGGATAATGTATGTTTTTGTATCACCATTTTTTTCTCAAATAAACATAATATGCAACGCGTCCGTCATTTCTATTTCGCAGGCCACGATTCTCGTATCTTGGAATAATTCTAGCTGTTTAAATTTTGCTTCACTCTCCAGTACTCGGTATTACTTTGGCTTGATTATCTCTCGGAGTGCAGGACGTACGGATGCAACCAGAAGACATGGGACAACGTCTACCACCATGTGACCGCGTTTTCATCCAGCGTGATTTCTCTGAAGGAACCGCTGTCCGTTTCCAAACTTCTCCTATGCCACATCAGCTGCGAGGTCGCGTGAGTTCTGCTACTATTTACTTCAAATCACTTGATTTTCGTCTTCAGCTCAACCCATCTGTCTACGCGGATGCTATTGGACAGTTGAATAAATTATTTCACGAGGCTGAATCAATTTCTCCAGCCGTATGCTTGGAGAACGTGCTCGGTTGTTTGACCGCCTATCTATCCTTTTTGTGCATCCGCACGCATTACGAAAAAGTAAGCTGGGCCGTCAGCGTCTTCTATGTTTAAAACCGTCATGATTATAGTGATAAAAATGTATATGGCGTACGAATAAGAACAAAATATTTGCATTTAATTTAGATGGTAGATTTAATCATTTGATTATACTTGACCGTTTTGATCTTCACTGATGAGGACCTCTTGTGCTTTTATTACAGATACTAAAGAAAGTGACTTTGACCGTAGAGGAGTTAAACGAGAAGCTCTTCCTTCCTAGTGGATTATTGATGATTGATCCTTCCGAACGAGGGCTCCGAGTTGTATCCTTTGCCTGACTTTGCAAATTTTTTTACTGTTAACCATCAAGTTAATAGCGACTCCGCAAGGAGGTGCCACCATTCTTTCTATCTAAAAAGCCTGTCGGATTGTGTCCACTGTCACCATGCTTGGCAACAATTTAATGAAGGCCGCTTTCAACATTCACAATGAAGAAATTCAGCATCAACAACAACATCACATGTCAATTCCACTGCCATACGCTAGAGATGCGGAATTAGGAAAAACCACCGCGCCTACATCTCATCAACAACACAAGTGCAAAGATAAGGCGGCCCCCGCTATAGTCAGTTTGGCTGCAAAGGTAACTTAGCGTCACGCACTTTAAATGAGCACTCTGGCTGGGTATCGATAACAAACGCATCGTTGATATCAGTTACGCGTCATTTTCTGTAAAGCTGCGTGCTAAATGCAATCTGGAAGGTGAGGCGTAACAACATCACCCAGTTTAACCATCCCACTCCAGTGGCCATTTTCACTCTCCTTGAATATTATGCCATCCTAGATATATGTAAAAAGTCTTACTTGTTTATTCGTACTTTCTGCAACCATGACTGTATGAGGATGATGAAGCTTCGCAGTGATCGACGTTCTCACAGGAATCCAGCCAACTAGCGAGTACTCAGATTCGAAACTGAGAATGATACCTATTCTAACTTCCCCTTTGGCTGCATCACACGCATCGAATAGTGAAGGGGTAAACTAGGTAGAGCAAGTTTTATAATCCTGCGAGTTATTAGTTCGTTTCAGAGCTATAACATAGATCAACATCTAAAGTGTCCAAGTGCGACCAATTGTGTCAAAGCTGAATGTCACCTGAGAAAATCGGGTAGCATAGCCTAATAATAAATTTGTGATTAAAAGTACCTACTTGGTATTGTGGTGATGGCCGGCGCGTGGCTTTGTAATCTGAAGGTCGCGGGTTCGAGCCTACTAGAGGACCGGGCGACCGTCGAAGTATCCTTAGCCCACGCGCGACCGGTAGTGATTGTGTAACAGCGAAGCGCCGGTACCATGTACCGACGTACTGCAGGTGCCCTGTATGGTATTTACCAAAACGTCATTGGAAATGCAGTTGCTTTCGCTAATGCTTTGGACCACGGGGTTATCAAAGCTAATGGGAGAAGCATAACCAGTCTCCTGTTTTTGCCTATCGCACCTATCGTATGCCTAGATTGGGCGATGCTTTTAAATCTTCGTTGTGGCGGATGCAGGCTATAGCTAGAAATTTGACTGAAAATCGTGTTTGCACAGAAGTTGGGATGCTGTCACAGCAACAGCCCTTTTATGAGAATGATTGTGGTTTTCTAACAGTCTTCTGTTCGAAAACCTGACTGCAAAGCGGAGGAGTGCCTAAATGCCACCCCACTTCTATTCCCCTAATCTTGAGAAGCAACAGGCAAGTCTTCACCGTCCACATATTAATGGATCTCAACTCGACCATTAAAATGTGTGCCTGTAGGTTCTTGGTGGAATAGGTTCCGTCACTGCTCTGGCAGTCAAGTACTCTCCGGTTCATATTTCTCGGTATTTACAACTCCAAACCGTTCTCTAATTATGCCCGAATTTTCAAACCATGTTTGCTTTTCCATATACTACAGCTTATTCTGTCTGAATACGCTCCTCATAGATCGAACTTCGCATATTACATTCGCAACCCTAAACTATGTCTGTCGGTGTAGAACGCGACTATCTCGGACACAGCAACATAAAACGCCTCATGGATGCTGGATTTCGCAACGAGCTCCAAACACGCATCCTAAATGGAACAAGTCGGGAGAGCAAAGCGATTGTCCAGAGTCAAAAACCTCAAACCCAGCGCCTTTTTGTATGAGTCTTATATCTATTTGTTCCGAACTGCTGCTCTCACTATAACTTGTTCTTTTTGTTCCATGAGATTATGGTCATCGCTAATGTGCGATTCATTGTGGATCCTAACTACCGGTGGCCATCGCCCGTCAGATAGTGAGAACCGTAGAATACTGCATCAGCTGAAATGACAGGCACTCTGTTCAATTCCAATCTAAGTTAACGAAACGCGCAGCAACTAGGACTGTATTTGTTGTAATCTAATAGCACAAATGACGTTTGGAAACGAAAGAAGGGACGAGTCAACCGTTTTCTTTTAGCACTCGTTGAGCCTTTTTCTTCTTTATATATCTCCGGATACATATCGCGCCAACGAATGTCGTGGCAAGTGTGCAATAGATAGTCTGAAACAAAAAATCGATCGAATTAACCGTTGTTTTAAAGAAAAAGTTGGTAAAAACGGTTAGCTTCAGCTGCGGAACGAAAAGAGAGCTCTGGTTTCACGTCGCTAATTACCTCAGCTGTTCTGAATCCAAGCACCAATAGGTGAATAGCTCATATATATATATATATATATATATATATATATATATATATATATATTTGCAACAGTCTACGAACAGACGTGGAGCCATCAAAAACCATGGAACTCAACGGAAGGTACAGATATCGTAAAAAGCACGACACACTAGAGTCCATGGTTTTGTCAGAGGGCAAGATACTACTCGGTTGCTTAAATCGAGGTAGGGTGTTGCCTTAGGGGACAACACCCCGAGCCTTTGGCTGAATAGCTTGCCCGCAAGGCAGCAGAGGGAATGGGTCGCGCCCATTGGGAGCCGGTGACTGAGTGCTCAGGTCATACGCCTTTCGTTTGTCCGTTTGCTAAACAGGGGCCAAATGCTCCCTACAATTACAGCGCTAAGTTGCTGGAATACAATGCTTCGCCAGTATGAAGAAAGGGGCAGTGGCCTTACTTAGTGGCAAGTTACATCCGCCACATCACAGTGTTGTTAAACGGACATATGTGGCTTTTTATAGAGAGAACGCTTGCTAGGCGAGAATCCCCCACGTCCTGGAACACTGCCGCCGAACAATTCGCTGGAACGGAATAATCCCGAACCGCCCAGCTGGCACCACGAGGTTGTTCGGCAAGCCAGCTCATAAATAGTATTGGGCTTGGAGTATGGTAAAATGTCCCAAGAGCATCAAGGTGGCGCTATTAAGTTATAGTATAAGGCGTCAATGAGTGAAAGCAGGCGAGTCGTTAACGATGCTGTTCCTTGAGTTGTCAGATGATACCGATGACCAATTTAGGAGCGTGTTTTCCATGTTGATGGACCCAGCTTAGTTAGTGTATAAAAATAGTATGTCACTTCGTGTGGGCCATCAATTGCGTTTGTTCCACATGGTAGTCGGTTTTGTCTGCTCCTCGCTATTGAGACAAAATCAATTGGACTGATGCTTCTTTGCCGCACAACCACGGTGACCCAAGGAATGACAAATAATTAGAGAGAGGAGGACCTAGTGTAAAACATTCAGGATCAAGGCCCCTGCACCTTGTCAACAGCATACCGTGATAAAAAAAACTGGCTATCGTAGAAAGATAAATCGGTATCAGTGTGGTAGCTTCTTTGCGGCCTTCACTGCCCCGCATTAAAATCCGACATTATCGCGCAAACAACTCAGCACTTAGGGCAGGCAGTTGGACTAGAAGATGATAGCAGACACGCCAAACACAAGGCCAGTCACGTGGATTTCAGCCTGGAGGGTGACAATATAACACCAAACAGTGCACTCTGACTTCATTTCCCGCTGCCAAATTAACCTCAGCTTTCGCATCACCTTACATCTAGTAAACAAGGCAAGGCCCTCTCTTCGATAAGCGGTGACCGGGTATGTGCCCAAGCCAAAGCAACCTATTTTGAAGAACTAGTATGATTATCACTACCTATCACTCATCTACGTATATCATAGTTGCAGACATGCTGGTGCCACCTGACATCAGCGATGGTCGAATATCTGAAAGCGACTCAGAACGAAGGGTCTAAATCTCTCATAGAGTAGGACGGCTCTCACGGTGGCTTTGTAAACACGGTGTTTCAGACCGAGAAACCCCTTTTCTGAGGCACCAGATGTCACGGATTCAAGAAGACAGTTCTATGTTTTGCAATACGTGAACTGACTTCAGTAATTGTGTGCCCATCGTTGCTGATTCAGTTCCCAAGGTAAGTGAATCGGTCAACTACCTCGAATCCCTCGTTACCAATAGTCATCAAGTGGCTGATGGTCTTGTGACAACATTTTGAAGGCGCAAAGCGCATACCAAATGATGCGGCCACTCTTGAGAGAATGTTCAGGGCTGACTGGGCCACCCCAACAGCAAGGCAATATCGTCCGCAAAATCAGGGTCAACTAGGTTCTCACAAGACAGTATCTTGATTATCATCAAGGTCAAGGCGGCCGGTTGAAAATAAATCGCTCTGCCCCCAAGCCAGCTTGTTCCGTTTTTCTGCGTCACATGTCGTAATTATTTGTCCTCAATTGTATAATTCAGTATTCTTTGTGGTTCTAAATTATCTCGTTATATATTGTTGTCCGTTTTCGGTAGTTATTCCGTCGTTCTACACTATCTGCTCTCTGGTTTGCCGAACTACTCGTGGTACCAGCTTGGTGCTTCGGGTTTAGCTTGTTCCAGCGAAGTGTTCGGCGGCAGTGTTCCATCTCGGTGGGGCATTGTACTCCAGCAATGGTGCTGATTTCATGGAGAGGATTGGGTCCCCGTTTGTTAACATACCAAACAAGACTGAACATTCAGTCAGCGACTCCCAATGGGCGCGATTCCCTGAATTTGCCCCAATACCTTGCGGGTATGCTGTTTAGCCAAAGACTCGGGGTGGGCTCCCCTAAGACAACGCTACTTCGGCTTGGGTAGTATCACGCCCACTGACAAGACCTTGGATTGTTCGTCTGCTATATCGCGCTCAGCTACCTTAACTTCTGCTACCTGCATACTTTATACGCACACCACCCGCTCACTTGTTACCAATCACTGTTATCCATTACCAGCTGTTTCTATGATTACACTCCCGATGGTTTCATCGACACCAACGGAGTTCGTCCAGTATCCGTCCTTTAGCATCGGTCGTCGTTTCGCTTGGCATGCTTCAATGTACGTACACTCATG